GGTACGAGCGATCACGCTCTGGTGGGGCGAAGCCCTCTAGGGAGGGGTCCAACGGAGGGGCGAGGCGGACCCGGACGATGACGGAGAGAGCGAGGTACGAGTGATGTACAGTACGTTATTTGGTGGGGCGAAGCCCCTAAGGGAGGGGCTCGGGGACGGAGCGAGGCCCGGTGGGATGTGAGGTAACGACCCGCTGTCCTCGTATTTGTTCTGTTGAAGCGGCTCCCGGGCGGCTCCCATGGCCCGTTTCCTCGCATTGTTTCGAGTGGCGCGGCCCGAGCGGGCTCCTAAACGGCCCAAGAGGGCACCAAGAGGGCCCCAAGAGAGCCTCAGATGGTCTCCAGACGGTCCAAGAGAGCCTCAAGACGGCTCCAGAGGCCCTCAAGAGGGCCCCCGAGAGGGCCCACAGGGGCAAAACACATTGATGCTTCTATTGTTTTTGCATGTTTTGGGGGGTCTTGCTTTTTCTGGCCAAGAACGGTCCAAAACGGCCCAAGAGGCTCCAAAGATGGCCCCAAGACTGCCCAAGAGACCTCCGAAAGGGCCCGAAAACTGTCATAGAGGGACCCAAGACAGCCCTAGAGGGGCCCAAAACTGCCCAAGAAGGCTCCACGACGGCTCAAGAGGGCCCCAAGAGGGCCCCAAGAGAGCCCCAAGAGGGCCCACAGAGGCCCCCAAAACGGCCCCAAGATGCTCCCAAGAGGCCCCCAAGACGGCTAGAGGCCTCCAAGACGCCTCAAGACGGCCCAACAGGGCTCCAAGACGGCCCAAAATTGCCCCCACAGGGCTCCCGAAGGGCTCCAAAAGGGCCCCAAGAAAACCTCGCCCAGGCCCAAGAGACGCTCAAGCACACCATGGCTCCCCTCAGCGAGTGGTGACGTAACAAGCTCTTGACACCAAGGCTCCCCAGAGCGCGGTGACGTAAATAGCTCGTCACGCCAAGGCTCCCAAGAGCGAGCGGCAACGTGAAAGTCTCTGAACACCATGGCTCCCAACGGCGAGCGGCGACGTAACAAGCTCCTACCACCAAGGCTCCCAAGAGCGAAGAGTGCCATAAGCCGTCTCGGGCAAGTTCCTGGTCCGCTCTTTCCGTTCCTGTGCCAGCCCAGGTAGTAATGGCCAGCTTTCCTCGTCCATGGCAAGTTCCCTAATATTGTTTCGAGTGACGCGGCCCAAGGGCCCCAAGACGGGCCAAGAGAGCACCACCACGACCCAAAGACTGCTCCAAGAGAGCCTGAAATGGCCCCCAGACGGTCCAAGAGAGACTCAAGACTGCTGCAGAGGGCCTTCCAGAGGGCCCCAGAAAGGGCCTGAGGAGGCCAAAACATTATGTGTTCTATCGTTTTGTTTTTTCACTGGTTCTTCTCTTTTCGGGTCCGGAAGGGCCCCAGAGGGCCCACGAGGCCCCCAGACTCGTCCCAAGACGGCCCCAGAAGCCCCCAAAAGGGGCCGAAAACTGCCTAAGAAGGCCCCCAGACGGCCCCAGATGGCCCCAAAACGGCCCCAGAGGGCCCAAAAACGGCCTAGGCTCGAAAACTCTAGCGCCTAGACACTCACGGCGGACAGGTCAATGCTAGTCGATGCACATATGGGGAGCTCCACGCAGTGAATATTTCCCAGCCGTCCTGCCACCTGCAATTCCTTTGTGGTGCGAAGGCCTAGCGTCGTCGATTCGTCTATCCACTCTTCGAACTGGACGATCTGGGCTGACATAGCACCACTCTATTTCTTTGATGCCTCCTCTGCGAATTTGGCGCGCTCGGTCCTGATATTTCTCAGCCGTTCGTCTTGACGATGATTCCTTGCCCGCATGTCCATCACCTGCTGGGTAGACGGTCTAAGTTAAACGAGCGCAGCCTTCCGCATCGCGCTCTCTAGCTTGTCCTCTGTGTCGCTCGTCCCTGCTGCTGCCACAGCTGACTGCACTGGGTCTGATCGCTCTCTCTCTCTCTCTCTCTCTTGGCGGTTCCTCGCATCCTGCCTTCGTCGGAGCTGAGGTTGTCACTGCTTTTCTGCGCGGGCTTCCTGGGCATGCTGCGAGGCCTCTGATACAAATGTATCGCAACACGCTGATTGAAAAGACGCCCGCATTTGCGATTACATCTTGTCAGAGCCACCTGTTGTCCACACGGGCATTTCCATGTCAAGATCTGCTGCGACTGCTGTGCCACCGAGAGTCTCGGGGATTGTTGTGCACGGTGGTGTCTGCTGAGCGTACCCGTGGCTGCTGCGATTCGAATCAACACTTTGCACCAACACTTTGCACCACGCGCTGCGCGCTGTGGTGTCTGTGCCGCCCTGGCCGTGAAGAGCGAAGGATGACCGAGAAAGGCTGAGGTCAGGGGGGTACGAATCCCGGACTCAAGAAAAGAGTATCTCAACGAGATGTACTGTCAGGGGGTCCGAAACCCTGACGAACAATGGGTAAGACCAAATCTGCCTGCCCCTTGGGGGCGTGCAACATGCAAAGCAGCTTCGTCCAAACGCCTCTCGCCCTCCTCCTCCTCCTCCTCCTCCTCATCCCCCTCCTCCTCCTCTTCCTCCTCCTCCGATTCCTCCTACATGCGTCCCCTCTTGGGGTATGGCGGCTTCCTCAGCCAACTGTTGCACTGCATGCACCTTCACATCCCTGGTCGAGGCGACTCGCCTGGGCCGCGAAGCATCTAGAATTGAGAAGCACATGTGCGCCTTCTGTTTAACGATGTTCAATCTGGGCTGCGGTAGTCAAACGAGGTCGGAAGATGTGCGCGGGCTGCGTAGGCTCGGAAAGGGAGCAGAAGGCGCTGCGGAGCATGCCCCCGGTGGCCAGCAGTTCCAGAGCACTCTCATTGAGAATTCCCCGACGGGTCGCCCACTCAGACCGGAGCCGGTCCACCAATGAATGGAGGGGAAACAAGAGCGCCTGGGTGCCGAATTTCTGGGTGGCTGGTGCCGTCCCAGACCTCTCTAAAGGCACTTCCATCGGAAGCTTCTTGGAGGCGGGTTTGGGGGTGTCTTGGGGCTTCTCGGAGGCCTCTTGGGGCCTGACTTGGGTGTCTTTGGGATCTCCTGTGGCTTTCGGGGGGGCCTCTCCGAGGCCCGCTGGCGGTCTCGGAGGTCATCTTGGCACGGAAGGCAATGACTGTCAGGTCGAGTTCCCCTTGCCTTCTTGGACCGTGTTGGGGCCCTGTTGGGGCGAACTTGGGGGACCCTTGGGCCGCCTTGGAGCGTCAAAGCCCGAAACGGGGAGAACGTCAAAATCAGCGACACGCCAACAAGAAAAACACACGAGTTTGGCCTCTCGGGGCCCTCTTGGCGGGCCTTGTTGAGCCCTCTTGGGCAGTCTTGGAGCCCCGTCGGCACGTTGAAAGCAATATTCGCGACTCCCTGGGCCGTATTGGCGACCTCTCGGGCCGTCTGGAAGCGCCTCGTGCCATCTTGGACCGTCTCGGAGCCCGCCAGTGCCCGCCTGGGGCGATTTGGGCGGCTTGATGCTGGCACCATCCCGACACGCGCCGCTCCCAGCCATACAGGAAAGAACACGTCGGGCACCAATTTCACCTCCCGCATCTCCGTCAGCAGCGCCAGCGCCGGCTGCCACTGCTCGCCCTTCTCGCACGCGCTGATCCCAGCATTGAAGCTGACTAGGACGAACCCGTGGACTACTTCCACGAAAGCTCGTCGGCGAGGTTCACGGGGTCTTTGCAGAGATGTTCCCGACAGGCTTCCAGGATGACGTTTGGGTCACGGTCGCAGTCGCCACCGTTGTCCTTGTCTTGCTAAGCGCGTCGCGGGCGGGGTCAGCTCCACTTTGATGGCCCCAAGGGGGCTCAGAGATGGCCCAAGATGCCTGCAGAAGCCTGGGATCCCGCATGCACCGCCGCTACGTGGACGGAATCGTCCACGCAGCCAGGGCCTCCAGGGATCCCAGACGGCGCGATGTGGCCACTGCTGGGCCCACGATGGCCCTGGAGGGCTCGCACACGGGCCTTGACGGCCCCAAGGATGCTCAGAGATGGCCCCAGAACGATGCGGCCCCTGATGGCTCCAAGATGGCCCACGAGGACTCGCACACGGGCCTTAATGGTCCCAAGGGTGCTAAGAGATGTCCCAAGATGCCTCCAATAGTACAGGAGTTCGAATGCTCCGCCGCTGCGTGGACGAAATCGTTCCACGCAGCCACGGCCTCCAGGGCTGCATGCTGCTGCTCGACGCCGCGTGTTGTTGGTGATGCTTGCCGCTCCTGCGTGCTGTTGCTGCTTGCCTTCGGGGGGTGGCGGGGGCGGCTTGGGTGGCCCAGGATGATTTTGAGCCGCCTTGAGGCCGCGTTAGGGCCAAGGCCGACAAGAAAGACGCAGAAGTATCTGAGCCCTATTTTCCAACGACGTTCCATGGTGGCTTTGGCCGCCCGAGGAGGTCGAAGAAAGCGCTCAGGCTGGAGCCCATGAAAAGGAAGGGAGCAAGTAAGAAGCGCGTGGGGGCCTTAACTTCAGTGCTGGACGGTGCGATCTCAGAGCTTCCCGAAGGGCCTCCCTCGTAAGCCTCTTGAAGGCGGCAGGCAGGCAGGCTGAGCCGAGCCTCCGGAAGGACGCGTGGGCAGAAGAGCGCACGATTGGCAGCTCTTCGTGGAAATCTAAAGTACACCCGCTCGACTTGAAGGCGGGCCTCAGGGTTTCATGGTGGCTGTGGCCGCCCCAGGAGGTCGGAGGATGCACGCAGGCTGCGTGGGCTGGGGGAGGAGATTGAAGGCACTGCGGAGTATGCCCTCAATAGCGGGCCTGACTGAAGCACTCTCAGGGAAAGCTTTTGGACGCGTCGCCCATTCAGACCAAAGACTTTGCAAAGAGAGGGAGAACATAAGAGGCGCATGGGCGCCTGCTTTTCCTGAGAGGCCAGCGCGGTCCCAGAGCTCTCCGAGGGACCTTCCCTCGGAAACCTCTCGGAGGCGGCTGCGGTTGAGTTCTCGGGCATCGACCCCTTGCCGCCGCCCCCGATGGGCCAGGCCCGCGCGCCCGCGGGCCTCAGCTGCAGCCAGCTGCAGCCTTCTCGAGCAGGCCTGGCGCGACCGCCGCCATGCCCAGCTGCGCGCCGCCCCGCTGGGGGGCTCGCGAAGGGGGGCCAGCCTGCGCGCGCGGATAGCGACTGGGCGAACCCGAACCGCTCCGATTGTACAGCGCCTCGCCCTGGACCGCCTCAGCAGCGCGGGCGACTCGCCCCGGGTAGCCCCCTGCGGGGGCCCCAAGGCCCGAGACGAACGGGTTCCGGGCAGGCGCCCAACCTCGAGCGCCCGCGCCCGCGCCGCCGCCGCGCCCGCCCGCGCGCGGGAGAAGCCGGAGAAACCAGCGGGGAGCCGCAGCAGAGGGAATACAGCGCCAGAGAGAGGAGGGTGGGGGCCCCCAGAAGTGAAAAGGGGGAGGCACAGCATTCGACGTGAGACCGACGCCCGAGAGAGTTCGGCTCGTTCTCGAAACGCTACGACCCGATGGAATAGCACGCGTGGATCGAGAAGCAAGCGCTGGAATTGGAGGACGAAGAGAACAGAGGAGAACGGGGAGAGGAGCTTTCTGGCGCCATGTTTGGGCCTGGGGAATTCTTTTGGGCCACTGTCGCGGATGTCCCACCTGCTACCCCTCGCGGGCAACAAGGAGGAAACCCATGCTTGCCGGCGCGCGCAAGGAGGAAGGGAAGCATGGGCGACGGGAACTTTGGCGAGAGGACGCGGGAGCTCGCCCGCTCGCTCTCGCCCGATCAATGACATCCCAAGGGACAAAAAAACGCAGCCGTAACCCTGGGTGGGGTGGTGGTGGTGGCGCGGGGCGCGCGTGCGTGAATGGTGGGACGGGGGGGAGGGAAACGATCTATTGCGTCTCATCGTCTACTGCGCAGCTCCACAACAGGGCGCCGTGCGCTCGAAGGGGGGCAAATGGCCAACGCAGCAGGTCGCCGCGCGGGAGCCTGGCTGGCGGCCCTCTGAAGGCCTCTTCCATTGACAAGCTGGCCCGAGCATTCAGGAATAGGAGAAACGCGGGGCATCATGGACCAACTCAAATCTTTCATCACTGCCCACGAATGGTCTTAAGTGCCCAGTTTCCACTGTGCACTTTGCTCACTGTGATCCCCCCTGCGCGGCGGCTGATCTGCTCTGCTACCGTTGCCTCGACCGAGAGCTCCCCTTGATCGCGCGGGCTGCCGTGGGAATCTCGGACAAGGTCTTTGCGCTCAGGGAGTGGCAGTCGTTCTGGATGGCCTCGGACATTTATGTCTTTGCCTGGGGTTTTGCTGGAACGGATGCCTGGCCGAAGAGCGTGAATGTGAAAGTGCTCTTCCGGGACTGGCCTGGCTCGTCGCGCGCGGGGGTCGCTGCTAACTCCTCGACCCGCAAAACGACGTCCTCCGGCTCCGATTGCATGATCACGGCGACCAGCACTTCGAGCCTGAATTGCACGTTGGAGCACCTGTCCGAGATGCCCTGGCAAGGCCCATCTTTCAAAATGCGCGGAACGCTGTAGTGCTGGGGGGTGCGCGGGGTGCTGGGGGACCGCGATCCGCGCCGGCGTTGACCTTGAGCTCTCCCGCAAACTCCGGGCACGACCCGTCGCAACCCATGGCCAACTGGCGCTCGTGGGCGAGCGGGGCGGCCGGCAATGCCTGGCGAACGAGGAGGCGAACTCTGGCTCCGAGCTGGAAGACCAATTCTCGCAGCAGCCCGAGTAAGCCTTCGCCCTCCATCCGATGGTCTTCCCCCCCCGCCCCCGCCCCCTTTTTCTACCTCCTGGTGCTTTCCCCCGGTGGCCGCGAAGCTCTGAGATCTGTCGCGCGCTCGCCAGCTCTTCTCCCCCGTCGGCGCGCCTGCGCCCCTGCGGTCTCGGCGCCCGATCTCCTGGCGACAGCTTCAGAAACTGCTTCAGGTTTCAGGATGGCTCTGGACGCGCACGCCTCGCTCCCGCGAGGAAGGTCGAAGTGGGCGACGGTGCCCAGTAGACTGACTCCCCAGAGCGCGTGGGGCGCGTCGTCAAACTCGGGCGCGCCAACTCAGTTCCGCATCGTCAGCAATGCGCATGACCGCACCTTCCGTGGGCTCGCAGAGATATGCGCGCTGGCATCGGATCTACCTGGACCGCGCGCAACTGCAAAGGGCGCGCGCGATCGGGATGGTGAGGATTTTCCCATTGTTGATATTTCCGTGAGCGCCGCTTACTGCGTTGGAGATGTGCTTGGTCAGTGGGCGAATTGCGTTTCATTGACTATCGCGCGCGCGCCCCGCCCTGCTTGTCGCTGCATCTGATCGCCCCCCTTGGGGCTCGGGCGCGCTGGAGGCAAGCTGGTTCGCCTAGGGAACTCGCTCGCCGCTCGTCGCGCTGGCGGCTGGGAAAGTCGCGGGGGCCTTCGAAAATCATCGAATGAGAACGCGCGCTGCGCCCGCCCCCCCCCCCCCCCCCCGCGCCACCCGCGTTCAAACTCTGTTTGAAATCTCAAACAGCCGACGCGCGCAAGGGCGAGCGCGAACGCGCACGGGTCCGCTCTCGGCGAAAATAACACCGCCCACGCGAGACGCGCCGACGCAGGCGGGCACCGATCATAATCTGAAGCCGTGTCAGCCCCCGCTTTCAAGGCTCAAGGCCCGGGGGCTTGGCCTCTCAATTCCTGCGAATGTCGAGAGTCTGACAAGCGACAAAGTGCTCCGTCTGCCCCCGCCGCGCCGCCGCGCGGCCTTGGCGCGCGATGAGGGCCCGGGGCTCGGAGGGGTCGCAACTGATAAGCGGCCCAGGACCTCTCGCTACAATTTCGAGACCGCTGAGTCTACCGTCGAGGATGAAACCTTGCAGTGTTGACTGCGAACTTCACGCCCTCGGCGGCCCAAACAGAAGCGCCCCCCAGAGAAGCGCGCTGTTCCCAATGATTTCATGTTTTTGTTTAACACTGGCTTCGGCGCGAACGCGTTGACTTGTGTAAAGAACAGAACAGCCACCCCGACATGAATCACCCTGGCACGAAAAACCGTTTTGCGAACGCACCCTTTGAAGGACTCGCACAAGGCAGGGCTGTTCAATGAACGCCCGGGGCCGTTTAGCAAACGCTGGGTATCGGGCCCGGGTGGTTTTGCCCCTTTAATTGCACTCCGACTAGGTGGCGCACGCGGCGATGTGTTTTCCGTCGACGCTGGCGCGCCCGCGACGCGTGGGGCGGCCGGCCGGGCGATCTCCCTCTCCGCGAAGATTGGCCGCGCAATCTCGTGCGCTAGCGCGTCGCGCCCACGAGGCCCATGCCCGTTGACGGCGATGGTTCCAAGACGACCCCCCATCTCCAGATTGTCTATCGCCGCGTCACCAAATCCGTTCGCGGGGGCGCCTTGCAAAATGGATCATCTACAGAGCTGAGAACGCCGCCTGCTGAGGATCCTCCGACAACCGCGGGGTGTCAACCTCCGCGGCCTTGTGCCAGTGCCCAAGCACGTAGAGGCCGGCGGCTGCTTCGATCGCGGGTGGACTGAAGTTCCCGGCGAAAACAGGCGCGGCCCCGACCTCGTCTGGCCGCGCTCCTTGTCGGGGTCCAAAGCAAGAAACTGTCGGTTCATCTTCCAGGAGGAACAATGCTTTAATGGCGCCTGTCCTCGGCGAGCTTCAAGTTTGCATTGGGGCGGTGGCCGGGGGGGGGGGGCGCGCTCGGCGGCGGCGTCTCGGAGATGGCGGGGAGCGCGCGCGGCATCAGCCATTATGCGAAATGCCTGATGGAGGATGCCAGCTAGACTCCCGTTGCGGATTACCCACGTCTTCGTCAGAGTCCAACGCGCGCCCGGTCGTCGAGCGTCCAGGCCGAGAGCTCGCGATGCACAAATGCGACGTGAAACGTGCGCGCGTAATCACGGTGGTTCGTTCTCCATCAACGTCTAACTTGCGGCTCGATTTCAGGGGCTTTGCTGCGCGAGCTGCGCGTTACCTCATCGGGGTTCCACGGCGCTCCCGAGGCGCGCGCGCACTGGCGCGAAAGGGCCCTGAGCAACATCCAGGGGCTCGATTTCATTCGGAATGGCGACGGACGAAACGGCGGCAGCCGCAAGGAGGTGATTCTTTTCGGCAAAAGCAGCGGGCCGATCGATTCAGATGGCGCGCGCCGCGATGGGCAGCTGCACCGCGACTTCGCGATCCAAACATGTCTGCATGCACCCCTAATATAAAATATAATGCTTCATCGTGGTCGAGGGGCTCTCGATCTCCACTTCGTACTTCACTCGCAGCGCCGTCGGTCGTGGTAGGCCTTGTCGAGCACCTGCCACTCTGAGAAAGTAGCCCCACGCTCTCGCACCATCCACGCGCTGAAGCTGAGGGGGCGGGGGCAGCAGCAAAATGACGATGGCGCGTGCCACGCCTTCTCCCAGCAATCCTGCGCGCAATCTTCTGGACCATGTAACCGCTGATGGCCTCTTCCGCATCATTAAGATCAGATGCTCGCCGCGCTATGGCGCGGTCCCACTACTGCTGAGCACTTCGCTTGAGGTTGTTGCTGAACGCGCTGGTGGTACGCGGCGTCAAACAGAAACCCCTTGCGCTCGGATCGCATGTGACGGCGTCCTGGGCGAAGAACTGATAATCTGTTGGGTTCAGGTACGTGATCCATTCTGTCCTCGGCATAGAGAGGGCATGTGTGGAATACCGTGACTCATGCCTGATTGACGGTAGAAACAAACTATTGCACTCATGCGGTCAACGTCCCGTGCGGCACCGATGTCTTTAAGAGGTCGTACTCCTCGGATATGGGGAGTTCCATCGCATTGAAAACTGCTTGTCGTCTGTATCCCTGTTGCGAACAGCCGGGTGGGGCTTCGCGGTTCGGTTGCATGCTTCTGGCGGGCATCGGGCCCCTGCCGAAGTTAATGTAAAAAAGGAAATCTGCAACGGCCCGTAATCCTGAGGCTTGTGAGTGCCATGCAGCTATAAAGCGCGACCCGCAGAGCACGCCACTACACATTCCCCAGCACTCGGAATCATTGTGCTAGGTGCGATGACGTTGCCAATCCAAGATCCACCATTGTTTCCGACACGCGACGGGCGATTGCAGAAACAACCGTTCGCTGCAGCCATATTCCAGACAATAAAGGCCAGGCGCACAAAACAACGCAGACGCACTTCCTCTTCCGAAAGCAACGGGCAAACCGACGTCGTTAGCAGGACGCCTGACGAATACTCCATTGACATATATAGTTCCGTGGCACAATCATCCTGCGCGACATGTCATTCAAGATGCATGTAGCCAGTCGCTCATTTTCTGAAGGGTCTGCCCGTAGTTCGCTGCAAAGCTGGGGGCGCCTGCGCGAGCGGGAGGTATAATGCAATGATACCTTATTACGTATTACATTCCACAAGTAAGATGGCTCCAGAACTGACCCAACGCTGCTCCGGCGTGCCTAAGACTTGTTTCAACGGGCTCTCGGGACATCTAGGGCGCTCGAGCAGGAAAATGACGCCGCACGATTGTGTCACCGACTGCCCTCTCGTGAACGTGAACTCGACACCCTGTGATGCTTTGCGCGGCTCTAATATCTTCAGCGCTCTGTCCCTGCGAACGTCCATGTGCGCAAGTACGAGCATGCACGCCTCTGCTTGGTAAAGCGGTGACGATGCCGAACATGTTTTTCTCGAACGATCGTGCAGCACATGGGCTGTGATACATGTTGCACAGAGGTCCGCTGCTGCCTGCCATTCAAGGCCCGCTCGGGCAAAGCTGCCATCACGGGCTTTGTTCGGAGCACGCATGGCCCGCACACGCTCTTGGGCGGGTAGGTGGCGGCGGGGGATGTGTGGCGTGCTGAGCGACCTTGCAAGACAAAGAAGGACGACGCGTGTCGAGGCAAACACATGAACAAGAGGAGGAGAAGAGCGGATAACAAGGAACGGGGTTTTCTGGTGGAGCGTTTTGGGTTTGTTTTTCTCTTAGGGCTGCTTGAAATCGAGAGCCAAGGAAAGGCTCTGGCGCTTGAGGCCTTCCTGGACGCTCCTTAGCAACAATCTGATTATTTTGGGGGGCGTCGGGGCATCTGGGAATGGCCTGGGGTCTCTTTGGAGTCTGGGGTGTTCTTTGGGTTTGGGGGGAATCGAAAAGCGTTTGAGTCGGTTTGGAGGCTGTAAAGCATTTCGGAGCGGTCGTTATTGGACAGCTCTTGGGGCCCCCTTGGTCCATTGTGGTGCCCTCTAGGGCCGTCTCGGGGGCCTCTTAGGCGTCGTGGGACCATTTTGGGCTTCTGGGGCCGTCTTGGAGCCCGCTGCGGGCCCTCTTGGGTGGCTCCTGGGGTCCTCTGGGAGCTGTCTCGCGGGGCCACTTGAGGATCTGCTCGGCCGTCTGGGGCCTATCTTGGGCCGTCTTCGGGCTCTCTTAGGCCGTTTCGGTGCCCTCTTCGGGGCCCCTTGGGCCGTCTTGAGGCGACCTTTGAAGGACCTGGAGTCATGTGGAGCCGTTCTGGGCACGTCATGGGGAAACGATGCAACAACTCAACAACAATTTGGGGCCGTCATCAAAGTCCTCGTGGTCCGTCGGTGAAGCACCCTGGCCGGTTTTCGGGCCTTCTTGGGCTGCCATGGAGCTCGCTTCGGGACCTCTTTGGTCGTCCTGCAGCCCGACTGGGCACATCAGAGGTGTCTTTGGGCCGTCTGAGGCTGGCTCGGGGCCATCGGGCGGGCCGTCGTGGGACCCGCTGACGCCCCGAGGAGCGCGAGGATCTCGCCCTGCTCACCTGTTTCGCACGCGTTTCGACCAGAACTGTAGTACAGATGACCTCGGGTTCCAGTTTCGCTTCCCACATCTCGCTCAGCAGCACCAGTGCCCGCTGCCACTGCTTGCCCTTCTCGCAGGCGCTGATCCCAGCGCTGTAGCTGACTAGGGCTGACCCGTTGACTACGCCCACGAAGCCTTTACAAACTTGCATGTGATTGCGGCCATGCTGCCGAAAAGCTGAAATCATAATGCTAGGCTCGACCATCGCTTTCCGCGCCTGCTACTGCTTGCTGCTGCTTGCTGCAGCTGTTGCGTGGTGTTGGTCATGCTTGCCGATGTTGCGTGCTGTTGCTACTTGTGGCTGCAGGGTGCTGCTGGTGGCTAGTCCTGCTTGGTGCGTACTGTTGCCCGCTGCCTGCTGCTGCCGCAACCTGCTGCCAGGAGAGGAGAGGAGATCGAGGAGGGAATGCAAACAAGCGAAGCGCGATCAACAAGAGGGAAACGGGAGGAGCGACGGCTGAGGAGACCGAGACGAGGAGAGAAAGAGGGAGAGCCGAGGGAGGAGGCGGGAGGGGCGAGGGACCCCTTGGAAGTCTCTTGGCGTCCTCTCGGGATGCCTCTCGGGGGGCCTCCCTGGGCCTGCGCGGGGCCTGCATTGGGGTCTCTCCGTCCACGTCAACCAGCGTGTCCAGCGTGTGCTTATTGCCAGCTGTTTCTGCAGACTGCTGCTTGCGAACGAACTGCCTGCTAGCGTTGGCTTGTGTTGGCTTTTTGCTGCTTGCTTGCGTGCTGGCTAGATAACTTGTTTGCTGGATTGCATACTGTTTGCTGCTGCCGCTTGCTGGTGCTTGCTGCCGGAAACTTTAGTGGGGCTCACGTGCGTTAAACCTTGGCCTTGTCGTGACTTTGCGGGCCTTCTTGGGCTAGCTCAGAGCCCAGCTGGGCCTTCGAGGTGTAAGAGGGCTGTCGGAGAGGGCGTCCTGTGCCCTGTGGGCCGATCTTGAGCCGCCTTGGGGCCGTATGAAGGCCAAGGGGGGAACTTGAGAAGCGCATGCCTTCGTTTTCCTACGACGCTCCATCGTGGCTGTGGCCGCCCGAGGAGGTCGGAGGAGGCGCACGGGCCCTGCGCCCCCAAGAAGGCAAAAGTCGCTGCGGAGCATGCCCTGGTGGCCGGCGGGCCCCACTCGCGAGGAGAACTCCTCGACAGGTCGTCCATTCAGACGGGAGCCGCTCCAGAGAAGGGGGGAACAAAAGGCTCCCATGGTCGCGTTATTTTCCGGGGTGGCTGTCACGTTCCCAGAACTCTACAAGTGATCTTCCCTCGGAAGCCTCCTCGAGGCGGTCGTGGGGATGTCTTGAGGCCTCTTGGGGGCCTCTTGGGACCTTAATTGGGCCTCTTGGGGGCCTCCTGGGGCTTCCGGCGGCTCTCTTGGGGGGCCTGCTGGCGGTCTCGGGGGTCGTCGTCTTGGAGCGAACGTGGCAACATGTCAGCTCGAGATCCCCCCCCGCTGGGGCTCCCTTGGAACCCTTTTGGAGCTGTCTGCGGCCGCCTTGGGGGCCTCTTAAGCTGTTTTTGTGGTATCCTGGGCTGGCAGGGAGCCCTATTGGGGGCCTGTTCGAATGTCTGGGAGCGATATTGGGGGCCTCTTGGGCCGCTCGGAGAAAACTTAAGCAGGACGAAAGATGTTCCTCTTGAGGTGAAGATGGCCATGCGGAGTTCGCGAGACAACGTCGGCGCCGCCGAACGGACGACGACCGTACGAGCTCTTTGCAGCAACCGGGGGGAGAGGGATGTATGTATTCATGTTGAATGGGGCCCGCTCGCGCGGGGAGTTGATGGGAGTGCGCGAGACGACGCAAGGCCCATCGTGGAAATATGATTACCGAACCCCCCTCCCCCATAGAATCTTAACACGGGCGGTGTGCGGGGTCCGCGGATCCGATTTCTTCTGGTCCCCTGCTTTACTTTCATAACATGAATTTAAAACAGGGTAGAAATCGGATCCGCCGTAAAACATGAGACCAGACACGGATCCAGCTAATCCGAAAACGGATCCGTACGGACGTAAATCTAATCCACCGAAACAAACACCGAAAGGACATTTGGATCCGCGCGAACTTCATGGGATCCGACGGCGGTTATCTCATACGGGTCTGTTCAAGACTTCACACCGTCGTTCCGGGCCCAAGAGGAAAAAACGTTTGCCCTGGGGATGTAGGAAGCTCGAGAAGGCGAGAATATCAACATCCTCAGACAATCCTCAAACAATCTCAGGCAAATCAATAAGATTTGGCCTCCTCGTGACGTCGTCGGGATCCTCCTAGGTCGTCTTGGGCCGTCTTGGTAGCCTCCTGGCTTGTGTGGTCTAGCAGTCTGGAAACGCTTCTCACCGTCGTGAGGCCGTCTTGGCGACGTCTTGGGCCGTCTGGGTCACCTTGGGGCTCTCTGGAGGCCCGCCGGGGCCCGCTGGGAGCGATGTTTGCCACTGCGCGCCCCCACCCCTTTGGGCAAACTAGGGCGAACCTATGGACTGCCGTCCACGAGGTCTGTCTAAAGTGGAACCTGATGGCATGTGGGGATTGCCACATAAGCATAAACTTTCAGAGGTCTGCACGGATTCATTGGGTCGACGTTGGAGGCGTCGCCAGTGGAGATGCAGTGCAGGCCCAAGAAATCCGCGGGGACCTCCCACGAGGAGCGTCCAGCGAGGAGCGAGGAGGGAAAAACACCAGCCCAAGACAGAGAGGCGAGGAGGGGCGAGGGAAAGCCAAGGAGAGGGGAGGAGCGAGGGCGAGGTGCGAGTGACCAGAAGGGAAGAGGGAGACGCCAGGAGAGGAGCAAGGAGGAGTGAGAAAAGAGGAGAGGCGAGAAGGGTGTCCGAGTAGCCGAGTTGAGGAGCAAGAGGGGAGCGCGGAGGCCTTAGGAGACAGGAGCAACGAGCGGGGAGAGAGGGTGGGGGACTGATGCGCGAGGCTTGAGAAGCGACCCGCACACGAATCTCCCAACGGCCTCGGAGCGCGTGTAAGTAGCCTAACACCTGGTCTCCTCTTGGGCCGGCCATGAAGACCACTTGAGGCCTCTTTGGAGGCCTCGGGGGCACCCTCGCGGCCATCCCGCACCTTCTGGGGCCACCAACGCGTCCCTTGTGACCCCTGGGGTGCCTTTTGTGGAGATGCAGGGGCGTTCGAGGGGGACCTTGGCGCAATCTGGTCCTGGGCCGTCTTGGGGCCAGGTCAGAAGCCAGCTGGGCCCATCTTGGTGGCGTCTGTAGCCGTCTGGAGGGCTCTTGCAGGACGGCTCTTGCAGGACCCGTGGGCCCGGGAGCCATGCCATGAGCCGTCAGGAATCGCAGCGTGCAGAGGACCTCGCATCCTGGGGCCCTGCGCGGAGCCATCCTGGAGTCACTCGGGGCCACTCCTGCGCCATCTTGGGGAGTCTTGTGGGCTCTTTCGGGCCGCCTGAAGCCCTCCGACGGCTACGCACAGCCATCTCGGAACGCCCAGGGAGCGCCCAGGGGCCCTCGGGACTGCTCTGAGAAACGCTGGGGGCGTTTTGCGGACTCCAGGGGCCCTCGCGGAGCTCCGAAAACTCAATCAGTGCACAGGCGGTCTTCGCACGCATGCGCCTCTGACGTGTGAAAGAGATGACGTCGGGCTCCATCTTCGCCTCCCACATCTCGCTGAGCAGCAGCAAGGCCTGGTACCACTGTCTGCCTTTCCCGCACGCGCTGATCCCAGCGTTGTAGCTGACTGCAATGAAACTAGGATGTAGCACCTCGTAGCTGCTGATCTGAGTGAGGGGGCAAGCGCGGGGTGGGTCGCGGGTGTGTCGCGGACGGGTCGCGGGTGGGTCGCGGGGGTGTCGCGGGGGTGTCGCGGGTGGGTCGCAGGTGGGTCGCAGGTGGGTCGCGGGACGGTCGCGGTCGGGTCGCAGGTGGGTCGCGGGTGGGTCGCCAGGGTTGCGGGAGGGTTGCGGGCTGGGCCGCGAGTGGGACGACAATAACAACAATAATAATAACAACAACAACAACAACAATCATGTTAAAACGGTTCGCTCTTACTGGCACGTGTGTCTTGCATTCCGTATACCCCAACCCTCGATACCCGCCCATTTCGTGTTCGATTGCACCCCCTTTTCGGGGGGAGTCTCTTCCCTGTCGGCCACTGACTAAAGTGCGAAGAAGTCTCGAACCAGAGCGTTGTTCCTGAGTTCGGGGGCCTCTCTGGCCAAGGGCTCCCGGAATACTTTTGGAGAAAAGTTGAACGGAAGCCTTTGTCGCCGTGTCCAGGCCTCCACCAACTTGCCCGAATTACGGGGCAGGCTCGAGCGAGAGCGCAGTTCCTGAGTTCGGGGGCCTTCTTTGCCAGGGGCTCCCGGAGTAAATCGTGAGGAAGTATCGAGCAGGAACCCTTGTCGTCGTGGCTGGGCCGCCGCCAACTTAATTGAACTGCGAGGAAGTATCGAGCGAAAGCGCTGTTCCTGAGTTCGGGGGCCTCTCTGGCCAGGGTGTCTCGGGGTAAAATGTGAGGACGTATCGAACGGGAGCCGTGTAGCTGTGCCTCCAAGAACACCCATTCAAAGGTCTTAAGGTCAAGTCAACGCTCGAGCGGGAGCCTCGTTTTCAGCGAAAATGCAGCCGGCGTCGAGGCGAGAGCGCGCGGAACCGTCTCTGGAGATCAACAATAATTAATCTTTCGAAATGAATATTCAACATCAGCAACAACAAACAAAAGCAGCAACAACAACAACAACAACTACACCAACAACAACAGCAGCAACAACAACAAAAGCAACAACAACAACAACAACAACAACAACAACGACAACAATACTAATCAGTTTAAGCCGGTTCGGGGATTCATGGGAGGAGGAACGAGACACGGTGGGGATAAGGAGAAAAACCAAGACGAGAGCGTGATTCCTGAATGTCGAGGGCGCGGTGTCTTAGTACATTGTGAGGTCGTACCGCGCGAGAAAGCGATTCCTGCATACATTGTGAGGACCTCAAGGGAGTCCAGGGCGATGTTGAAATTAATCGTGAAGACGTTACCGGTGGGAGCATGTAATTCGTGGACCAGCGGCCCGATCAGAACTTCAAGAATTCCCACTGAAAAAATCAAGGTGCGAGCTCAATGCAGAGCACTACACTTGAACATAACAGTGGGCACTGGGTGGGGGGATTAACAATAATTTGTCGTTAGACTTACAACTTCGACAACAACAACGCACTCGGCAACAACAACAATAACAACAGCAGCATCAACAGCAACATAAACAACGATACGTATCACATTAAAGCTGTACGTTCTGATCCGCTCGCGTGACATTCAACACGTACATCCAAACTCTCGGTGCCCACCCTCTTCGTAAACGATCGTATCCCCTTTGGGGGATACGTGTTTTTTACCTGCAAGGTGTATCTCGTACAGCACCCAAGACGGGCGAAGAGTGGATGGATGGATGGAAGGGGCAAGGGGGAGAGAGGAGGATGGGGCACGAGAGAGAGTAGCAAGAGGGTGGATCGGAGCAGATAGCACGTGGCAGAACCACACGGGCAGATCGGGCGGGTAGACTCTGGCATGCGGGCCGCCTAGGCCAGGTCGAGCAGCCGTGTTGCTGCAGCGTGCATCCTGCATGAATCAGAAGCCGTGAAGTTTCCTTCGTACCTGGTGCCGATCGAAGTTTCCTTCGCACCTGGTGCCGATCCTCAAGATTGCAGCGTGCATTGTCAGCGATCTGCGCCGGAGCCTCCCTGGCGCGTTCTGCGTGCCAGGGACGGCCCGACAGCCCCCAGCGGTGACCCCGTCGTCGTCGTCGTCGTCGTCGTCGTCGTCGTCGTCGTCGTCCATTTCCTCCTCCTCATCCTTCTCCTCCTCCTCCTCCTCCTTCTCCTCCTCCTCCCCCGTCGTCTTCCCTCCTCATTACTCCTGCTCCTGCCCCTCGTGCTCCCCCTCTTCTTCTTTCCCCGAGGCCCAGAAGCTCCTCCGATCCAATCCTTTTCCAAAGACGCTTTGATGCCTCCTTCAAAATGCCCCGAAATCGTCCAGCTCAATGTTAAAGCGTTTCCCAAGGGCCCGCGTGTTTCTCACCGAAGTTCTGAAGTTTCTCTGAAAAGATCCCCCGTGCATGGGGACCTATCACGATGGATGCGTGCTGCATATAGAACCCTACAACATTCTACAACATTCGCACTTTCAAAAAAGAAACAATATTGACCCCCTCTCCGGCAACCATTCTATTTTTCAATTCGAATGATTATCCCGGGGCTCGCACCTTGTCCTGTACTAGGGAAAACTGGGTGTCACAAGGCTGGGTTGTTAGCCCCCGAACTACAGCAACAACGGCTCCCGCTCGATATTTCCTCGCAGTGAATTCCTACATCGCGCTCTCGCGCGGGACGTCCTCACAAGTTACACAAGAATCGCGTTCTCGCATGGAGCTCACTTTCAACTTCTGACACCCAGGAATCGCGCTCTCGCTGCGGATTGCTGGGCGAATGACTTGGGAATCGCATGTCGTTCGAGACTGCCTCGCGGCTCATGCAGGACGCACGCTTCAACAACCCGCCTGCCTGCTCGACCTGGCCGCGTGGGTCCGCCTTCCCGACCCGCCCGTCAGGGTCCACCCGCCCGATCTGCCCGTCTGGTTCTGCCATGTGCTTTCTGCTCCCAGCCCCCCTCCTGCTACTCTCTCGTGCTCCATCCTCCTCTTCTCCCCCTTGTCCCTTTCTCCCATCCGTCCTCTCTTCCCCTGTTGTAGGGGCTGCACGAAATACGCGCGGCAGGTAGGGAAGATATACCTCCAAGGGGGCACGATCGAAGACGAAGAGGGCGGGGAGAACCTGGTTCTGCCATGTGCTTTTTGCTCCCAGCCCCCCTCCTGCTGCGCCCTTCCGTGCTCCATCCTCATCCCTCCCCCTTACCCCTCCCTTCTATATGTCCCATCTTCCCCTGCCTTAGGTCTTGACGTGCTTGTTATTGTTTTGGTTGAATTCACACCCCTGCCCCCCGAGTTACGACAACGGCTCCCGCTTGACACTTCCAAATCATAAATTCCCATATCACGCTCTCGTGCGGGACGTCCTCACCATGTATCCAGGATTCGCGCTCTCGCGTGGGACCCCCTGGCAATGTATTCACGCATCGCGCCTCCAACCCTCGGGAATCACGCTGTCGCTTTGGCCTCTCTCACGATTTCCGGGGAGCCGCACTATCGCTCGACACTTCCTCTCGATTCGTGCTCACGCTTCAGCAGCCCGTCTGCTCGACCTGGCCGCAGGGGCTCGCCTCCTTCCCGACCCGCCCGTCAAAATCTACCCGCCTGGTTCTGCAACGTGTTTTCTGTTCCTACCCCCCCCCCTCCTGCCAATCTCCGTCGTGTTCCATCCCCCCTGTTCGAGGGGCACTACACGCGGCAGGTAAGGAAACTATGCCCCCAAGAGGGGTGCGATCGAAGACGAAAGGGCGGGTATAGATGGTTTGGGATAATCGTGTTAAATGGCATGCGAGCAGGTACAAGCGAACGAATATTCATAATATGACTGAACTCTCATCTCAAAACAACAAAAAACGATTGTTGGCCCGCCCCTCCGGTAACCATTCTATCTTTCAATTCAGATAATTATCCCGGGGCTCGCACCCTGTTTTTTTAAAATATAAAAACCGTGGTGCCACCAAACTGCGCGGTTGGCACCCGATTTACAACAACAACAACGGTTCCCGCCTGAGACTGCCTCGCAATGTCCTGAATTACACGAAAAACATCAGTGGATGTTGAGATAGACTGTGGGATCGGTAGTGAAACCGGTAGTGGGATCGATCGTAAGGACGATAATAAGGTCGATCGTGAGACCGATGGTGCACACGATTCAGTGAGATCGATCGAAAAGACGATCGTGAGATCACTCGCGCGATCAATAATGGAATCGACTATGACAACAATAAAGAAATGGGTAATGAGATCGATGGTGAGAACGATCGATAAAGAGATCGACAAAAACCCGGGAACCCCGAAACCCGGGAACCCCGCCGCTCACCGAAATCGGTCCCGAACTAGCAACAAAAAGCCCAAGAACCAATAACCAGGAACCCGGGAACCCGGCCGCCTACCGAATCTGCCTGGCACTTCCGCCAAATCTTTCAATCGCCGCTAAGACCTTTTCAATGCAAGCACTGATTGGGGAAGAATCGCGCTTTCTCACGGGACTTCCTCACATTGTATGCAGGAATCCGCTCTCGCGTGGAATGTCTTCACAAATTATTCACACGCCGCGCCGTCCGACACTCAGGAATCACGCTCTCGCTATGGATTGTCTGACATTCTACTTGGGAATCGCGCTATCGCTCGAGACTTCCTGACGCACGCTTCAGCAACCCGCCTGCTCGACGTGGCCGCGTGGGCCCGACTTCCCGACCCGCCCGTCAAGGTCTACCCGCCCGATCTGCCCGTCTGGTTCTGCCACGTGTTTTCTGCTCCTAGCCCCCCTCCTGCTACTCTCTCTCGTGCTCCATCCTCCTCTTCTCCCCCTTGTCCCTTTCTTCCATCCGTCCTCTCTTCCCCTGTTGTAGGGGCTGCACGAAATACGCGCGGCAGGTAGGGAAGATATACCTCCAAGGGGGTACGATCGAAGACGAAGAGGGCGGGGAGAACCTGGAAAGCATGGTAAAACGTTGGGAAGAGCTAAATTTCCGCCGCCTCGGGCTATCATGGGGGGCCTTCTGGAGCGTCTCGGGACATTTGAGGAGCATCCTGGCCTGTGGTCTGGCTGGTCTGAAGGCCATTCTGCCCGCTGTGAAACCGTCTTGGCGACGTTTTGGACCGTCTGGGGGCCACATTGGGCCTGTCAGGAGGCCCGCCGGAGCCCGCTGGGAGCGATTTGGCTGCTCGGAACTGCTATCCTTTGGGCACGCGCGGCTCCTGGCCGTAGAAGGTAAGGTAAGTTGTGGCTGACCTCCAGACTACGCGCACGAAATCTGCACAAACTGGCATGTGATTGTGGACATGCTGCCGGGAGGCAGGAATGATGCCACGTGGGGCTCGACCCGCTCATTCCACGCATGCTATTGCGTGCTGGTACGTGCTCTGGCTGGTGCGCGTTGTTGGTAATGCTTGTCCCTGCTGCGTGTTGTTGCTGCTTGTGCCTGCAGGGTGCTGGTGGTGGCCATCTCTGCCTGGTGCGTGATGAAGCCCGCTGCCTGCTGAAGCTTGCCGTTGCTGTAATGCTGCCGCTGCTGCTGCCTGTTTCGTGCTGCGTGCTGCTGTCGTTCGTTACTGCTGCTTGATACTGCGGGGTGCTGTTGCTCGCTGTTTCAGCTTGCTGGCGCAACCTGCTGCCAGGGGAGGATTGAGTCAGGATCGAGGCGATCGGGAACGGCGGGGTGAGAAGGGAGGAGCGATCAGCGAAAAGCGAAGAGCGAGAAGGGAGGAGCGACGGCCTTGGGGAGAGGGGCGAGGAGGAGGGAAAGCCGAGGAGGAAGAAGGCGTGAAGGGGGATGGAGCTTTTGGGAGTCTTCTCGAGAGGGGGCGCCTCTCGGGATGCTTGTCGGGGGCCTCTTGGCTGTCTCTTGGGGATCCAATCCTCATGGGCCTTCTGGAGCCATTTCGGCCTTCGGGCCACTGTGGGCTGTTTTGGAGGGGTCCGGGGAAGTTCGGGGGCTCCTGGAGGCCTGGAGGCCATCTTGGAGCGTTATTGGGCCGCCTTGGACCCGTCTTGGGACAGATTGGGCGGCCTCTCGGGCCGTCTTGGAGCCCTACTGTGTCGTCTTGGAGCCATTCTGTGCCGTCTTGGGCTCCCCACGAGGGGTTATAGCCGGCCGTCTTGGGTCAATGTCGGGGGCTTCTTTGGCCGTGCTGGGGGTTCCAAGGCCCGAAGAAGCGAGCATGCGGAATTCGTTTGCGAACCATTCGGGGCTTCATGTTTTTGCTACTGAAAGCGCTTCGAAGTGTCCTCTTGGAGGCGTCTGGGGTCGTGTTCGGAGCCTGTTGGGCCTTCTTTGGCCCCCTTGCGGCGTTCTTGGATTGTGTTGGAGCTCCCTGGCGCCCTCTTGGTGCCCTCTTGGCTAGTCGTGCGCCTCTCTTGGAACGGCATCTGGGTGGGCTCAAGCTTCGCCTCCCACATGTCCCTGAGCAACGCCACCGCCCGATGCCACTGCTCGCCCTGTCCGCACGCGCTGATCCCAGCGTTGTAGCTGATGACGTTGGGCTCCAGACTTGCCTCCCGCATCTCGCTCAGCAGCGCCAGCGACCACTGCCATTGCTCACCCTTCTCGCACGCAATGATCCCAGCGTTGAAGCTGACTAGGGCTGACCCGCGGCCTTCCGGCCGCGGAATCTGCCCGCCATGGTTTGGACGTGGAAGTGGAGCGTTTCTGGGGCCTCGCGGGTAAGGGGAGGTTGGAGGGGACGGTGTGGATGGAGGAGGTGGCCGCTGGAGGGCGAGGTGGGCGAGGGATGCAGGCAAGCAGGCCTGAAGGCAGGAACGCGGTGGTGGAGGCGGTGTCAATGGAAGCGCACCCATGTAGGCATGACAGCTGTTTCTGACGCCGCAGTCTGTGTTCATCATAGCTTCTGAGGGGAGGGCAGCCGTGAGAAGTTATCTACTTTTCGCCGGGGCCGAATGATAATTTGATGTGGTAGTGTGGTGACAATGGGGCCAGTGGGCGCGGCCTAGGAGGCCCGCAAGAGGGCGGCGAGACGTAACTCCCTAAGACGGGCCCCAGTGCGAGGACACGAATCCACCTTTCGAGCGCACCGCCCCAAGACGTCCCCAAATGGCGCAGAGATGGCTCGCAGTGGGTCCAAGAAGCCCCCAAGACGATACTGGAAGTTCGACGCTCCCCAAGAGAGAAGCATCCAACGCCTCTTGGGGGCCGCTTGGGGGCCCTTTTCGTCCTCCTGGGGGTCTCTTGAAGCCCTCTTGGGCAATCTTGAGTGCGTCTTGGGGCGTCTTGGGACGATGTGGGGCCGTCTTGGGCGCCTCTCGGCATCTTGGGACAGTCTTGGAGCTATCTTGGGCAAATATTGGGCGCTCTTGGGGTTGTCTTTGGTGTTTCTTGAGCCGTCTCGGGCGCCTCTGGAGCCGTCCCTGACGGCCCAGAGACCGTCTTGGAGACTGTCCAAACGGAAAGGCTTGGAGACGGGGCGGTGGTGGCATCTACAGCCGTCTTGGAGACGGGGCGGTGGGGCCATCTTGGGCCATTGTTAACTGCTCTTGGGGCTGTCTTGGGTGCGTCTTGGGCCGTCTCGGGGCCCTCCTGGGGCCCTCCTGGGAAGCCTTTTCGGCGTCTCTTGGGCCGTCGTAGAGGCGCCTTGGGCCGTCTTGGCTCCGCAAAAGGCAATCTTGGCTTGTCGTGGAGCGCTCTTGGAGCGTCTTGGGGATACCTGGGGCCGTCCTGGGAGCCTCTTGGTGTCACTCTGGGGCCGTTGTGGGCGCCTCTTGGGCTCTCTTGACGCCCTCTTGGGCCGGTTTTCGTGCGTCTTGGGGGCCTCTTGGGCCGTCTTGGCGCGGTCGTGGGGACCCGGAACCAGCTTCTGCGCCATATTCCCGTGAAGCAGCGCATGCTGGAAGTGAGCGCTTTCTTCGGGAAAACAATGATTTTCGCATCTGGGGGCCATCCTTGGACGCCTCTTGGGCGTCTCTGGGGCCGTCGTGGAGGCCTCCTGGGCCGTCTTGGGTGTGTTTTCGGCGGTCTTGGGCTCTCTTGGAGCGCTTTTGAGCCGTCTTGGGGGTGTCTGGGGCCGTCCTGGGCGCCTCCTGGGAGCCTCTTGGGGCCGCCTGGGGGCCGTGTTGGGCGCCTCTTGGGTCTCTGGACGCTCTCGCGGGCCGGTTTTCGTGCCTCTGGGGGGCCTCTTGGGCCGTCTTCGGGCGGTCGTGGGGGCCTCTTGTCCCATCTTCTGCGCCATACTCCCGACAAGCAGTGTGTGCTGAAATTAGACGTTTTTCGTTGGAAAAATAATGATTTGGACCTGTGGGGGCCATCCTGGGACGCCTCTTGAGCGTCTCTGGTGCCGTCGTGGAGGCCTCCTGGGCCTTGTCGGGGCCGTTTTCGGCGGTTTGGAGCTCTCTTGGAGCGCTCTTGGGCCGTTTTGGGGGTGTCTGGGGCCGTCCTGGGCGCCTCTGGGGCCGCGTGAGCGCCTCTGGGGCGTCCCCAGAGCCGTTGTGGGGCATTTGAAGTCCATCAAGACAGGGACCCTTCCCGCACGCACGGGTCCCTGCATTGTAGAGAAGATGACTACGGCTGACCCTTGAGCTCCGTTCACGACATCTTTCTGGAATTGCTCTCGTATCGTACGCGGAGGTTTCGCCGAAAACATTTAGTTCGGCCGCAGCTGGGGCGGCGGTAGCGAGACCGCGCCTTCGTGTCTGAGCTCTCGCAGCGATCCAGCAGCTTGGCCCCGGCGCACGGTTCGTTCACCCCCCTCCTATTAGTGGCAGCTTTGAAATCTCTCGGGCATGTGCGCCAAAGTCGAAGCCCATCTGAGACGTCTCAGGAGCGCCCGGGGAAGGGCCCGGGAGTCTCTCGAGGAACGACACCAGGAGCGCAAGGAAAGCTCGCAAAGATCTCCAGGGAGGGCCCAAGAGAGCTTCAAGAATGTGTGACTTTCAAATAAATCTTCACAGAACCCGCAATTGGGTCGGACGTGCTCCGCTACGTTGGGGAGGCCGTCTTGTTGGAGTTGTATGTAAGGCGAAGCTTTCTCGGGCGTCTTATGCGCGCAAGGGCTCTTCTCTTGGATGCAGTTTTGAATCCTCTTTCGGCCTTCTGGGGGGTGGAGGGCCTCTCAAGTCCTGTTTTGGGCCTCTTCGGGACCTCCTGGGACCCTCTCGGGCCGTCTGGGCTCCTCTTGGGCCGTTTTGGGCGAACGTTCAGAGTTCCGCACGTCATGTGGATCCTCATGGGGCTCTCTTCTGGGCCTTTTCGGGTATCCTCCTCCTCCTCCTCCTTCTTCTCCTCCTCCTCCTCCTCCTCCTCCTGCTCCGCCTCCGCCTTCTTGCCTCGATTCTGCATGCCCTGGATCTTGGATCGTCAATCGTGGACCCTCGGAGCATCGAAAACGGCTGTTGGGGCCTGCGTTCTGCCTCTCACCTCTCGTCCGCCCCCCCCTCCGTTGGAGGGAATATGTACGTAGGCACTCAAAACCTCCTGGGGGCTGTGTGGGGTTTCTGTGCCGTTTGGGCCGTCTCGGAACCGTCTTGGGTGGTCTTCGGCGCCTCTTGGGCCGTCTGGAGACCGACTTGGACCGTCTTGGGCGGCTCTTGGGGCTGTCTTGGGTGCCTCCGGGGCAGTCTTGGGGCAGTCGTGTGCCGTCTTGGCTGCCTATTGGGTCGTCTTGGGCGTCTCTTGGGCCGCCGTGGGCCGATGGGCGCATCTGACGCCGATCTTGGGAGGTTCTGTGGCCGTCGTGGGCGCGTCGGAGGCGAAAAGTATGAGTATGCCACACGTGTCAATTTTCCGGTGGGGATGGTGCGATTGTTGCGTCTCGGAGCTGTCCTGGGGAATCCTCGAGGGCCGTCTTTGGATGCTCCAGGCCTGCCCTGGGGGTCCTTCGGGTCGTCGTGGCGGCCTCTTGAGCGGCTCGGAGCGTTCCTGGGGCCGTCGGGGTGGCGTCTGGAGCGGTTCGGAACCGTTTTAGGGGTCGTCGGGGCGCCCTCTTGAGCGGTTCGGGGCCGTGGACAGTCGGGGCGGCCTTTGGAGCGTCTTGGAGCCGTCGTGGGGCCGTCGGGGCGCCTTCTTCAGCAGCTCGGAGCCGCCCGAGAGCACTCATGGGGACCCTCTGGGGCTCTCGTCGTTGCCGTTTTGGCCGTCTGGGGGCAGTGGTGGGCCGTCTTGGGCGGCTCTTGGGGCTGTCTTGGGTGCACTCTTGGGGTCACTTTGGGGCCGTGGTGGGCGGCCGTCTTGGGCGCCTATTGGGCCGTCTGAGGCCGTTTTGCGCCGTCTTTGGGTTTTTTGTGTGTTCCTCGGGGGCCGTCTTGGGCGCCCTCTCGCTGCTCTTTGGAGCGTCCTCTTGGAGAATTCTCGGGCCCTGTTTGGGACTTCTTGGGCCGACTTATGAGCGCTCGTAAGCTGTCTAAGCGCTTTCTGGAGGCCATCGTGAGCACTCTGGAAGCCCGCTCGCGCTGGCGCGAGGCTTTGCTTGGCCAGGACGGCGTCGCCCCTCGAGCGGAGCCGCGGAGGCACCGCGGGCTCGGGGCAACAAGTGATCCCTTCTGACACGCAGAATGCTCGATACATGGATGACGTCGGGCTCCAGCTTCGCCTTCCGCATCTCGCTGAACAGCGCCAGAGAGCGTTGCCATTGCTCACCCTTCCCGCACGCGCTGATCCCCGCGTTGTAGCTGACTAGGGCAGACCTGTGGACTCCGTCCACGACATCAGCTCGACGTGGCGAGGGGTCTCTGGGCAAGCGCGGGGGGGTGCGGCTGCAGGGCCGAAAGGCAATCATTGTTCTTGTGTGCCTTCGATATGCCGGTCGCCTCTCGTCCGCTCCCCCCCTCCTGGAAGCAATTCTGAGGCCACTTAGGGCTTCGTGGGGGCCGTTTGGGGATCTCTTGGGGCGTTTTTGCCTGCGATATGCCTGTCGCCTCTCGTCCGCTCCCCCGCTCCTGGAGGGAATTCTGAAGCCACTGAAGGCTTCGTAGGGGCCGTTTCGGAGCCTCTTCGGCCTTCTTTTGGGCCTCCCGGGGGGGCTCTTAGGGCCCTCTCGGGCCGTCTTGGGTGCCTCTTGGGCCGTCTTGGGGCCGTCTGAGGCCCGCCTCGGCGCCTCTTGGGCTGTCTTGGGCCGTCTTGGGCCGCTCCTGGGGCCGTCTTGGGTGCCTCTTGGGCCGTCTTGGGCGCCTCCTGGGCCGTCCTGGGGCCGTCCTGGGGCGTCTTGGGACCGTCTTGGGGCCCTCCTGGCCCGTCTTGGGGCTCTCTTGGGGTCCTCTTCGGCCGTCTTGGAGCGGTCGGGGGGACTTCTTGGGCCGTCTTGGAGCGTCGGGAAGCCGAAGAGGCGAGGAGGCCGAAAACATCGAAAAACACAATAGAAATCGACGATTTCTGTCGCTCGGGGCCCTCTTGGGAGGCCTCTTGGGAGGCCTCTTCGGGCGTCTTGGACGCCTCTTGGGCCGTCTGGGGCGAATCTCGGGCGTCTTGGGCCCATCTTTAAGCGTGCCCGGGCTCTCCGGGGCCGTCTTGGGGGCTTCTGGGGGCCCTCTCGACATGTCCTGGAGCCTGCCTGGGCGGCCTGGGGCGGCCCGGGGCCAGCCCGGGGCGGTTTTGACTCATTGGAGCCTGCGCCCTTCTGGCACGCACTGGGCCCTGCAATGTAGTAGAGACTAGGGCTGACCCGTGGACTTTGTCCACGTTTTCCACTGTGGGCAGCGTGGGTGTGTTGCTGGATGGCTGCGTACTGCATGCTAGATTGCTTGACGATTGCTTGTGCCGTACGTGCTTTGCTTGCTCTAGGACTATGGCCGTGAACCTACGATTGTCCTGAACAGGACACCCGCGCGGACAGAATCTGTCGCGAACAAATAAGAGAGGCATGGATGGTATATTTTCCGAAGTTGCCGGCGCGCGCTCGGAGGCCTCTGAGCCTAGACGGAGAGATGCAGCGCGTGCGGACGCAGCGACTGGATGCGAGACCCTTGGACGACAATGTTCAATACTCACGGCTGCGAAGGGCGAAGCCACAGGCCCGACCAGGCAAGAACGCAAGGGAAATCTCGACAGTGTGATTGTACGCAGGAGGCCTCCGGCGTCTGTCGAGGCGAAGAAGACGTTCCGCGGGCGGGCCTGCGTGCGGTCAGGCACGCGTCGACGCAGTCGGCACCCTTGGCCACGGCGCCCAGTTGAGCACGCTCTCCACGTCCTCCTGGGCCTTCTCCTCTCCTTCATTCCTCATCCCTTCGATCTTCGAGCATCAGTCGCCGAGGCGACGACGATGCTTCCGAGAAGGCAAACATCCAAGGCCCTCGCAGTGTCGTCCAAGACGGCTCCTTTGGGTCTGAGAAGTGCCTCTCGCCTTTCCTGAGCACCTCTCCCATGGAAGCAATTCAGAAGGCTCGTAAGGCCTGGGAGCCGTTTAGGAGCCTCGTGGAGTCTCTTGGGAGCCTCTTGGGGGTCTGCCGGGGCCCGTCGGGGGCCCCTTGGGGCTTCCTGGAGGCCTCTTGAGGTCTCCCGGAACCTTCTGAGGGCGGATAGCTGGATATCTTAATCAGTGGTTGGGGGATTCAACAGGAAACACATGTTTAATGTAGGATGCAGAAGAGGAGTCCTTATGACAAGAGCGTCGCTGGACCTCTGGAATCCGCCCGCATCATCTTTTCCCACCTGCGTCCAGGAGGTTACAGCTATGATGGGTGTCCAAGAACAAAGCCGAGATTTAGTTGACCATTTTACGGTGCACACTTAGACGCGCATGTGCTCTGCAATGCCGACCCGCATTTAAGGTGGCGTTTAGCTGTCCGTAACAGATGCTCTTCCTACTTGTCTTGTGCACGCGGCTGTGGTGCCGGAGCCACACGGCGGGGGAGAGGCGTTATGTCATACCTCCCCCCGCCCCCTTCCATGATGCCCATCATTGTCCATAACAATTAAAAAGCACCCCAATCCGATGAAAGAGACTTTCAGGGTGGCTGCAGAGAAACATTCGGACTCATCGATGAATATTTGCATGCTGACCTGTATCCACGACTGCAAGTCATTAGTTTGTTCAGCATCAATTCGCCCGCTGCTGAACTATCTCGCAATTCGGTTTCGTTACCGCTTGATCGCCGTGTGTGTGATGATCATATGTTATGTTTTCTTGCTTTTTCGTGAAACACATTTGTGCGGAATGTTGGGCTCTCCTGCGCGCCTCTTGGGCCGTCATGGGGCCCTCTCGGGCCGTCTTGGATCTCCCTTGGGCCCTGTTTGGGACTTCTTGGGCCGACTTATGAGCGCTCGTAAGCTGTCTAAGCGCTTTCTGGAGGCCATCGTGAGCACTCTGGAAGCCCGCTCGCGCTGGCGCGAGGCTTTGCTTGGCCAGGACGGCGTCGCCCCTCGAGCGGAACCGCGGGAGCACCGCGGGCTCGGGGAAACAAGTGAACCCCTCTGGCGCGCAGAATGCTCGATACATGGATGACGTCGGGCTCCAGCTTCGCCTTCCGCATCTCGCCGAACAGCGCCAGAGAGCGTTGCCATTGCTCGCCCTTCCCGCACGCGATGATCCCAGCGTTGTAGCTGACTAGGGCTGACCCGTGGACTCCGTCCACGACATCTTTCTGGAATGGTTCTCGGAGGAACGGCGCAGATTGTACCGAAAATCTACAAACACGGCGGCGGCTCGGGCGGCGGCAGCGAGACCGCGCCTTCGTGTCCGAGCTCTTGCAGCGCTGCAGCAGCTTGGCCCAGCGCACTGCTCGTTCACCCCCCTCCTATTGAGGACAGTTTCGAAGTCTCTCGGGGATGTGCGTCGAAGTCGAAGCCCATCTGAGGCGTCTCAGGAGCGCTCGGGGAAGGGCTCGGGAGGCCATCGGGGAAAGCCACCGAAAGCGCCGGGGAGGCTCGCAAGGATCTACAGGGAGGGCCCAAGAGAGCTTCAAGAAATTTGAAATCCAGTGAACTCTTAAGAGAAACCGCTGTTGGGTCGGCCATCACCTCCGGGCGCGCCTTGATGGTGCGATCCAGTCGCATCACCGCCAACGGGAGGGTTTGTTCGCCATGTCCCATTCTGTTCGCCCAGAGGGTCTGTGGAGGCCTTCGGGCGAACAGAACGGGACAGGGCAAGGAATGGGGAAGACATGTCCGAATCTCCTGGGCCCCCCAGATGCTCGTCCGAAGAATGCGGAGAGGTCCCAGGGTCATATCAATTGGCTGCTGTCCCAGGGGTCCGGTCTGCTTGGCCCGAAGAGTTTGCCAAGGCCCCTGGGGGAACATAATGGCACAGCATATCGGGCAAAGGGGGGCGGTAGCTGGCCTGTCAGACCCGGCGTTCGTCTTCTGCCCAAGCGGCGCGGGGCCCACGGGCCCCAGGGTTGGCGTCCCGCTGGGATTCCTCTTGTTCGCCCACAGGGTTGGAGGAGGCCTCCAGGCGAACAGAATGGGGCAGGACAATGAATGTGGGAGACTTGTCGCAAGCTCCCAGCCCCCCCAAGTGTGCGCCCGAAGGGTGTGGGGCCGCGTTGGCTCCCTCAAAGGGCCGTCTTGGAGCCGTCTAGGCCCGTCTTGAGGGCGCCGTTTGCCCTGATGGGGCCGTCTTGGTTCGTCGTGGGCCCCTCATGGGCGCGTCCGTAGGCCGTCCTGGGCCCATCGGGGTCCTCGTGGGGCTGTCTTGGAGCCGTCTGGGACCGTGAGGAGGCCGCCTTGGAGTCGTCTTGGGCCCCTCCTGTGCGCCTCCTTGGGCCGTCCTGGGCCCAGCAGGGGCCGTGTTGGCACCCTCTTGGGGCTGTCTTGGAGCCGTCTTGAGCCGTCGCAGCGCGCCTTGGGTTGTGCTGGGTCCGTCTTGGCCCGTCTTGGGGCCTTCCTGGGCGGTTCCTCGGACCCTCCTGGGACTTTCTGGGGCCTCTTGGTGCATCGGACCGCCGAAACGGCGGGAAACGCAAAGGGTGTAACAGTAAACAATGGAAAATTAACGATTTTTGCCAGCTGGGACTCTCTTGCCATCTTGGCCCGTCTTGAGGCCCCGAACGGGCGCGTCCTTGGGCCGTCCTGGGCGCACCCTCCTGGGACCGTCTTGGAATCGTCTTGGGCCGTCTTGAGCGCGCCTTGGGCCGTCCTGGGCCGGTTGGGGCCGTGTTGGCACCCTCGCGGCGAGGAAGCTCGGAGGCGGGCTCGAGGCCTCTTCGGGGCCATTTTGGAAGCTGTTGGGGCCTCTGTAGGGGCCTCGTTTGGGCTCCTTGGGAGCCTCCTGGGGCCTCTTCGGGGGATTCTTGGCGGCCCCTTGGGGCCTCTTGGGGGCCTGTTTGGGCCTCCTGGCGCCCTCTTGGGGCGGAAGGCTCGGATTTTCGGTCCGTGGTCCCCCTCTTGGCCCCCTCTTGGGCCTGTCTTCGGGCCCTCGTGGGCCGTCTTGAGCGTCTCTTGGGTCGTCTTGGGGCCCTCTTGGGCTGTCTTGGGGCGCTCTTGGAAACCTCTTGGGCCGTTCTGGGGCGCTCTTGGAGGCCTCTTGGGCCGTCTTCGAGCGTCGGAAAGCGGAAAAGGCGAGAAGGCCAAAATCCTTCCAAAACCGTCGTAAAGCGGACGATTTTGAGGCCCAAAACCGTCCAAAACCTCCTGAGGCGGTCCCCTCGTCCGCCCCCCTCGCTTCGAAGCAGTTTTTAAGCCCCGTGGCACCTCTTGGGGATCTCTTTTGGGCTCCTGGGGGCCTCTTGGGCCTCCACTGGATTCGCTGCCCTCGGTCGGCAATCGTCGATCCTACGACGACTCTCCCCAACGGAGAAACATCGAAGGCCCTCGGAGCGTCCAACATTGTTCTTTTGTGCCTTCGATATGCCGGTCGCCTCTCGTCCGCTCCCCCCCTCCTGGAAGCAATTCTGAGGCCACTTAGGGCTTCGTGGGGGCCGTTTGGGGATCTCTTGGGGCGTTTTTGCCTGCGATATGCCTGTCGCCTCTCGTCCGCTCCCCCGCTCCTGGAGGGAATGCTGAAGGCACTGAAGGCTTCGTGGGGGCCGTTTCGGAGCCTCTTCGGCCTTCGTTTGGGCCTCCCAGGGGGGCTCTTAGGGCCCTCTCGGGCCGTCTTGGGTGCCTCTTGGGCCGTCTTGGGGCCGTCTGAGACCCGCCTCGGCGCCTCTTGGGCTGTCGTGGGCCGTCTTGGGCCGCTCCTGGGGTCGTCTTGGGTGCCTCTTGGGCCGTCTTGGGCGCCTCCTGGGCCGTCCTGGGGCCGTCCTGGGGCGTCTTGGGACCGTCTGGGGGCCCTCCTGGCCCGTCTTGGGGCTCTCTTGGGGTCCTCTTCGGCCGTCTTGGAGCGGTCGGGGGGGCTTCTTGGGCCGTCTTGGAGCGTCGGGAAGCCGACGAGGCGAGGAGGCCGAAACATCGAAAAACACATTAGAAATCGACGATTTCTGTCGCTCGGGGCCCTCTTGGGAGGCCTCTTGGGAGGCCTCTTCGGGCGTCTTGGACGCCTCTTGGGCCGCCTGGGGCGAATCTCGGGCGTCTTGGGCCCATCTTTAAGCGTGCCGGGGCTCTCTGGGGCCGTCTTGGGGGCTTGTGGGGCCCTCTGGACATGTCCTGGGGCCTGCCTGGGCGGCCCGGGGCGGCCCGGGGCCAGCCCGGGGCGGTTTTGAGACATTTGAGCCTGCGCCCTTCTGGCACGCACGTGCCCCTGCAATGTAGTAGAGACTAGTGTGTACCCGTGGGGTGGATCACCACCATCGAAGCACAGGGGGCAGTGCCTGCAAGGCAGGGTCCAACAACCTGTCACGAAAAAGGGTCTTGCTTGTGACAGGTTGTTGACTACTCTTGGAGCCTTTTGAACCTCTCCGTGGCCGTCGTCGTTGTCGCCGCCGTCGTCATCGTCGCCGGAGGCGGCATCGACGACGACGACGACGACAACGACGACGACGACCTTCTAGCTGAAGGAAAAGTTTGGGCTCGCAGGCCCAAGAGGGCCGTTCGGACCAGGCAGCTGGCAGGGCCCGATGTTTTTCGGTGGCCCTAAGAGGCCCTACGGCCAGAGAAAAAAACGGGGGGGCGGCCCGCCGCCGCCGCCGCCGCCGACGACGACGACGACGACGACGACGACGACCTTCTCGCTGAAGGAAAGCTTGGGGCTCGCAGGCCCAAGAGGGCCGTTCGGAGCAGGCAGCTGGCAGGGCCCGATGTTTTTTCGGTGGCCCTAAGAGGCCCTACGGCAAGAGAATGAACAGGGGGGCGGCCCGACGACGACGACGACGACGACGACGACGACGACGACGACGACGACGACGACGACGACGACGGCTCCTGGAGTGGCTGTGCACAGCGTCGCCCATGGTGAAAGAGGCAGGTGGAAGCACCGGTCGATGACGAACCTCACGACCGAATCCGCAACCTCCGGTAATTAGGGAGGTCAGGCGTTCAGGTGTGGCCCGTCTTGGCGGCGCTCCCCTGGCTCACTTGGGGCTCTCTGGGTAGCCTCTTGAAGAGTCCTTTTGGAGCTCTTTGGGGCTGTCTCAGGGCTCTCTGGGGCCATCCTGGGGCCCTCTTGCGTCGTCTTGGAGGGCTCGGGCTGTCTTGGGGCCCTCGTCCTGCTGTCTGGGGCTCCCTTGGGAGCCTCCCGTGGCCCTCTCGGGGCTTTCCTGGGAGCGTTTTGGAGCCCTCCGGGGTCCGTCTTGGGCCGTCCTGGAGCTCCCTGGGGCCGTCTTGGGGCTCTCTTGGGCCGTCTGGGCGTGTTCTTGGGTGCCTCTGGGGCAATGTTGGGGCGGTTTGGGAGGCTCATCCGGCCTTCTTGGACGCTCTGCCGACTCAGAACGCGACTCTGGCAAAAATGTACGTTTTCCGACAGGAATGGGGCGATTTTTGTTTCGCGGGGGTCCTTTCGGAAGCCTCAGGGGGCGGCTTCGGAGCGTCTGGAGCCGTCCTGGAGCCGTCTGCGGGGCGTGCCGCGTCGATCTGGAGCGGTCTTGGGCCGTCCGCTGCGCGATCGGGGCCGCTCCGAAGGCTCCGCGGCGGCCCCGGGGGCTGCCCGGGGCGGCCCGGAGCGCTGAAGGGCTTGCTGGGAGCGGCCCCGAGGAGGCCGGTTCGATGCCACCGAAAGCCTTGCCACACGCGCTGAACGCTGATTGCAGGAGAGACTAGGGCTGACCCGCGGCCTTCCGGCCGCGGAATCTGCCCGTCATGGTTTGGACTCCGCACTGGGGCCGCTCAGGCGCCCGGTGCACGGGAAGATGACCGATAGGACGCTGGAGGAACTGTCCATCGGGTTTACTTGGGCTGCGCGTTAGGAGCCTTCTCCACCCTCTATCTCCGCAGAAACGAAACCCAGAACTCCAGAGTAAGCGCCAAAGCGCAGGTTTGCGAAAGACGTCTCTACAGAACCCTTTTGCCCACCTGGGACCTCGGAGACTAAACCTCGAGCGTGGTGTCTATCTTCCGCCGACGTGGCGGGCCGAGGAGTGGTCTTGGGTTTTTTTTTGTTGGCCGACCGCGGGACCATGAAGAACGGCCTCCGAGGTTACGGAGTATTTTTCGTGGGCGTCGTTGGTCCACGAACGATCCGGGCGAGACGTCTGTGCCCCATCTGCAGGAGCCTGGGGGGAAGATTTCGAAGTAGGTACT